TGTGACTGCAGCCGCCGCCGCTAGATGGTGCACGCTCCGCCACAGCCGACTTTCTCAGCCGTCAGTAGCCATAGAGACCTTACCACTGTGGGCTGCACGGCCTGTCACGCCCGCACGAGCCCACACATGTCCTTCTTAATGTGAGTATTAAATGACCGTAGTTGTGACATGTGAAATACGTGAACTTCAGGGCAATCTGAAGTGTCTAGGATCTCGGCTGACTAGTTGGCCCGAGGCGTATATTGTGGATTGTTGAACTCCCATAGCTCAATGAAGGCCCATAGAATCGGCTACGGTGGCGCCAAAACCTGCGCTACTCCTACCATCCCTCGTATGTTGCAGCTGACCGTTGATTTAGCCCTGGATTGCAACTCACCCGCTGCATGTCGACTGCGCTTCCACCCGTATAGTGAAACACCGGGATTTTAATTTGCCGCTGACCATTTAGGAAATGAAAAATATGTCGAGACCACAAATGTCAGGCCGATTTTTGAAGGGAATGTCAACAACTCGCGCGCGCAGAGACGTCTTCTGAAAATCCTCTCTTAAAAACTTGTAGAGAGAGAGAGGCAACCTGTAATCTTTGAAACGACACACCACTTAAGTAACGCATATATTACCAGGCCAAAGTGAGATGATATTTGTTACTAGATTATAGTTATCGTACGTTTGGCTACCGTTTCGCCTCGCCCATACGCAATTTTTCAATATGAACACAACCCCGATATAGCGGTTGGTTTGTTCCATACACCAATGTTCATTTCTTAAGCCGATGAAATACTGTTATATTGAAGTTTTGCTCACACATTTCTTTAAATTAATAACGATGTCCGGGCTAGTTCTGTGCTGGATAGTACTTACAGTGGTCGGAATAAAGTGTGTAGTATATTGTATGTGAAATAAAATAAATTATAGATAACATATTGTGTTATATCACATTTTAGTTTGTAACGCAGTATTTGTATTTCGACATATGTTTATCATTTGATGCAGAAGGATCATTAAGCATGTGTATTATCCTGACAGAACGCTGGCGTATCATATATCGTAGTATGTGAGCTGTCATTTTATTTATTTCAAATATATATTGTCTTTACTATTATTACTACTTTTTCTTCTCCTTCTTCTACTTCTACCTCTGCTTCTACTTAAACTTCTACTTATAATTTTGCTGCTGTTACTATTAGTGCAACTACTATTACTACTACTACTACTCCTATTACTACTACTGCTACTAATACTACTACTACTATTATTACTACTACTACTACTACTACTACTACTACTACTACTACTATTGTTACTACTACTACTACTACTACTACTACTACTACTATTGTTACTACTACTACTACTATTACTATTTCTATTACTGTTACCACGACTACTACAACTACTGTTGCTACTACTACTACTACTACTACTACTACTACTACTACTACTACTACTACTATTACATTAATACTGCTACTATTACTGTTACTACCACCTTCATTGCTAGTACTACTACTACTACTGTTATTACTACTACTATCAGTATTATTATTACTACCACCACCATCACTACTATTACTACTACTACTACTACTACTACTACTACTACTATCACTATTAGTATTGCTACCACCACCACTACTATTATTACTACTGCAACTACCACTATTATTACTACTATTATTATCACTACCACCACTACCACTGCTACCACTACAGCTAATATATCACCATTTATTACATTCTAAATCTCACCTAAAAGAGACATTTACAAGTGCGTGTGTTGGCGGCCACATAAACACAAGTTAACAGACACGCATACAATACCGCATTCTGCCAGGCACAGGCGACTTTGCACACAGTTGATTGCATGCCAGTTGAAATACATGTCTATATATTATTTTCATCTATACTTCTTCCCAGTATGAATACTCGAAATCGTGATATAAGAACACATTAAAAATTCCACACGCTTACCAACTTTGTACACCTGTGTTGCACCTGTTCATGGTTAATACTTTCGGCTTGTTTTATGAACCGGAAACCCGTCCTATTCACGTGGACAGTAATCAGTAGTAATGGGATAAAAATGTCTCTTTTTTTATCGAGTTCTTTCTCGTGTTACTGACATAGGGACCTTTGCCATGCCTTTAGAAACGAAATCTCGGTTATCTTAATGCTGGTTTCTGCTAATTATGAAGGTGTGTCACTTGATAAAGGAGAGAATCGCTGTTTCATAGTCACTGATAATTAGATGTTACATAACTATGAACGCAACTCACTCACGCGTAAAGATAAAGTATTTTTGACGTTCACTGTTAGTCCTCTTGTGTGAGTGGTGTTATATGTCCACCTTTTTTTTAATAGTCATTGGCACTCATCCATCATCCAAACATACACCACCTGCTAATAATTCCCTACACGCACCTTGTCCATATAAACACATTTTCCTCCTTGACCTCGTGAGCTCATCCTCCCTTCGGGTAGCTGGGGAGCGGATGAGGTGTCAGCTGATTTCTTCCCAACATCGGCTTCGTTCTATTCCACGTGAACAGATCCTTTTATACTTGTCCTTTAGCTCTTTGCAATTGCCTATCGAGTCCTCAGCTTGTCTACCACACGATTCAGTTGTCTGCGACGTTATTTCTTATTTGATACCATCCGTACGTCAGTAATACCACTCGTGTGGATCATTACCTACTAACTGTATCGCACAGCCTGTTCCGCACTGATATACCCTCTCTAAACTCACGGTAAGCGCTCTAAATCATCAACGAGCAACACCCACACTCACACAGCACCTTCTAAATCAACTAGCAACACCCACACCCACACAAACGCCGCCCTGTGATCAGCCTCGCACACACACACATACACACAAGCATACGACACAATCATCGCATCCCCGCTCCTCCCAATTCATTACTTGTTCCATTCATAAGCCTTATCGACCTCTCTTTATCTTCCTGCGGCGGCTGCTTACTCCGTCGCCGACCTCCCTCTCGTCCTCGCCTGTGTCGAGCGGCCAGTCTGTTAAACGCTGGATGAGGCCCGACCCGTTGAGTATTCATATGTACGGTCTTGCATATACGGAGAAATAAATGCATCATCTGTCTACTTGTCTGATAGATATATGTTTATCCATCTAGCTATCCGGTAGATATGCTTGATTGTGACAGATTTTCATCTATTTCTGCGTATGTGTTCAGCAAGATCTCCTCCATCACCTTTTCACGCCCAGCCTTCTGTAATTATACCTTTCCTCTCTCACGGCCACGCCTCTCTCCCGCGCCCGTGCTTCGCCTCCGCGCCCGTGCTGGGACACCACGCCCACAACTCCTCAGTGGCCCAGCTATCAATCACGTACTTAGATTACAAGTCCGTTTGGCAGTACATTTAAACAGTTATCAGTCTCGTTCGCCGCTCTTGTGATTTCAGCGACGGGCGGCGGGCGCAGTAAATCTTCCTTGACACGAGAGGAAGTTTGTTCATTCGAAGGGGAAAGAATAGGAACATTAGTCAGCTGCGTAACTGTAGTGTTATTTGCCTTCAGTTTCAGATTGTATCTTGATGATAAATAAGAATTGTTATACTCTTGTCTTCAATCAAATCGCTTTTGTTTGTTTAAAAGTGGCGCTGCGAAATCAAATATCGAGAAAATAATGTAATACAGATTTTAACGACACGATGGATGGAAGTTGAATATTTTGATTCTAATAAGGAATCAAATTTTACTAAACACTAATTAGTAATTAAATGGCTATGATTACTCCTTTCACACACACACACACACACACACACACACACACACACACACACACACACACACACACACACACACACACACACACACACACACACACACACACAGTATCGATCATCAAAGATTTACTCTGCCTTCAAACTTCAGTAACCTTAAACCAGCAACAAAATGGATGAGAGAAACTTGTAATGCCTTTTTATTTATATAATTTGATTCAGTAGTGTTTTTTACAATGTTAAATTGTATTTGAATTATTGAATAAAAGAAGAAAAGGAGTTTCACATTAGTTCATATTTTTTTTCATTCGTACATGTGCTATTTCAAATGACAAATGTTTATGTATTCTCTGCAAAACGATGCAACTGAATCGTTATTGCATGCAAATATCCCATGATTATCACTGCTAGAATACATACACTTTAGAAAGACAAAATTAAGTTTTCAGTTTCGCAGTCAAACGTCTGAAAAATCTAAAAACATCAGCGCTCTCACGCACGCACACACACGCGCGCACGGCACCGGTATTTATTGACTGTCCCTGGCTCATTTGTCACCATACATTGCGTATTATAAACAACAGTCCCATGGTATCAAACAAAAGGGACAAATATAACCATACACTTGTGTGTGTATGACACGTATGTTCCCTTATTGTTATAAACTAGGTCTTTCATATTACAAAAGATTTTTAGATTTCAATTATGCACATATCTCTTATAAATGACGCTCTTAATTTATTTATGTTGTAGAGATACGCATAATTACAAAATATTTTTTTTTCATTGCAAAAATTTCTCGTATAACGTAAATCTGTCGATAATGTAATGCACTAAACTCAATGGCGATGTTACAGTGTATTCAACTCTCTGACTTCCAGCACACTGTAAATGGCTGTCAATATGCTTCGATGTCACTGGCTTCTTTCTCGAATTTTGCCAGCGCACTCACTCCCACTTCAGACCTTTCATTTGTCGATATTAAGATCAGTCACGTTTCAGTTTTCAGCATTCCATTTTGCTTTTCTTTCATGAATGGAATTTTTGTCGCTCCGCCTATGTCATTATCCAAATTGCATATAATGGATCCAATTGCTCTTTTTGCGCAGGAGGGACGGCAGCGACTTCAAGTTTATTTCTTGAGGGTTGAATGAAACATAAAATCTTGCTTCCGCTGCTTAATTCTATACTGTTTTAAGATATGTACTGACTGACAGTTCAGGAGCATTCAGAAATATCTTAACGATATAAGAACAGCCGTGGCGAGAAGTGGACAGATTCGAACCATCATCTTCAGCAACAGAATTTAAACACTGAATTAATATAGATACATAAACGCTATACGCTATACATTCCGTGTGAAGGGCTGCGGTTGCACGCGGGTTGC